GACATACCTTAGAAATAAGATACAACTACCAAAATTTAGTGTCAACTAAGATTGCATTACAAAATCAAATGAATGAAACTTTAGTTAGTTAGAATCCAGGAAGTTTAACTGAATTCGCATACCATGCTTGTCCTGAACTATACCCTTTAGTAGGGAACAGAGTACATCCCATGTGCCTGATTCCCGGAGTCTGTCCGGATGAGTCCCGCTCATGAAACTCATTCGTGTGCACTTGTCAAGAGCAGCCACCAGTCCGTTCCGTTCCCCCAGCCCCTTCCGTTTCATTCCATTTCATCCCATTCCATTTCCCGTCACCACTGTCCTTGCAGTCCGTTTGTGGTCAGTGTTACCATGCGCACGAATGACGCACGCATCTTCGTATGTGGAGGTTTTTCTTCTCCAATGCCTCCATCGCAATGAAACTGATGGATTGCTCGACTATTGGTAATGCAATTACAATGCCACTGCCGGCTAATTAAATCCCCCACAAAAAGGTAACCCGGACAATTAATAAGCTTATGGGGCCAATAAAATATTGATAAATGCCTGAGGGCTCCGCACAAATCCCCTGAACAACATCGCGAAACGTTCGTAGTGAAAAATTTATGTGTTAATATTTACAAATAAATTAAGCGGCCTGGGGAAACGGAGGGAGCGAGCTGCAGGGTGGCTGGGTGAGATGCCTAGACCATTTCATAGCCCATTTATAAAACCCGGGAATTCGCATCCCATGTTGGTGAAGAATCCACTGGGGAAGGGGCCAAATGGATGAAGCAGAGCCAATGCAAATAAGGCAACATTTGATTAATGAGTGGGCCGGAAAATTAAACGGCAAAGCAAGTGCCAGCGACACCCGGGTGAGAGGGGATCAGGTCGTTGAGCCTGAGGCTGGATTTCTAGGGGCTGTTTCAAGAGGCCGCCATGACTCAACAATCCAAAAATGGCAAATAATTATTTAATTGCATTTTTTTACGTAGTCATGGTCTACCATGAGTAATATTCTTTATCGAAATATTTATGAAAATCTTTTATAATTTTTCTTTATCTGCCTGCAGAGTCTCAATTTCATTGCACAGTGCTTAATTCAACTGTTTAGCCCCCTAGTATTTTCTTAGACATTTCTGGAATATTTGCGAGGGCATAACTCATTTGGTAATTTAAGTACTTGCACGAGTTGGTCGTTGGTCGCGGGTCTCACGTACTCCCCACAATGGATAGAGGGACCCAATGCGCAGAGTGCCCAGAGGAAGAGGCAGGAACTGGTGTATCCATTCAGTGGAATAGTGGGATAATATCCAGAAACGAGAGAGGGTTAGGGCACCGAAAGAAAGTTGTAACATATCATATCATATCATATTATATCATATATGGTATTATAAGTATTCTTTAATTAGTATTTTCAGTATTAAAGGTGTGCTTTAGTGACAAATTGCATGTTCTAAATTCTATTTCAATCTTTTTTTTAATTTTTCTTATGCATTTATTTATTATTTTACCAATTCAATTTTTTTCTGTACGTGTAGTGCAGCAAGTGCTTCAGCTGCTTCTTCCGCTGGTGCTGTGGGGTTTTGCCTTAAGGAATTAAGCGTGTAAAATACGAGCGCATAAATCTATTTGCTACGCATATAAACAACAGAGCGCATTTGCGTGTGCAATCACGCCATTCTCCATTTGCCGAGAAATGTAATTAGGCCTGCCGCCATGTGGAACGCATTCTGGCCATGCCCAAGGGCGATCTAGGGGCGGGGGCGTGGCAGGGGCGGTGCCGGCTTGTGGTCAAGGGGGGGTTGGGGGTGGGGGTGGCCAAACAGATGGCTTCCAGCTGACCGCGACCGCACACAGCCAACTAGCCAACCAGCCAACCGGCCAAAACGACCAACCATCCGATGTGGATGCATTTTGTGGATTGCAATCGCTCTGGCCCCAAATGATAACGGATCACGAATGCCCCTTTGCCCAGTGATCAGCTCCACAAAAACCCCATTAACAGAGGGAAAAAGGGGGTTAATGACAATATTACTGCCCTCAGCCGCCAGGTGAACGCTTTGTGAATTTATTGAATTATGAAACGAGCGGCGATGCCATTTATTCGCCCATAAAGCGAGTCATTAAAATAAGTACCAAGGAGGGCAACAGGCTTTATATATTACAGCAATGCCTCAAATACCCTGTAAAAACCATAATCAACAAAAAAATATTACACTGCTATAAAAAAGAGTAGTAGTACCTACATGCAAAATGCAATATTTTTCTTTGGAAGCTCACTTCTCCGGAATTTAAGATCAATACACTATTAAAGATATGTTCGAAATATTGTTTTTAGTTCTCAGTTCAAGCCCGTTTAGTGGTGTTAATAGATAAACCCTACTTTAATAAAATAAAGGAGATTTTAAAATAATAATAATATTATATTTAAAATTTGTATCTATCTATTCAATCAAAGTTCCTAGACTTCAGCCACTAAACATTTTAAGAAAGTAATTTATTAAAACACTGTCCTCGGACCTTGCATGATAGATCGAAATATTGTGAAAAGTAATTCACAATTTGATGCCTTTTTTATGTAGACCACACTGCCCTTCATCAACCTAATGACCAACTGATGATACCCTCCGACCAACAATGCACTTAGTTCCGCTGCCGCAGAGGTGACCAAAAAATGCTAAAAAGCTGCACCAAATGTGCAATGAAAAAGTTAGTAAAACGTTAAGCCAAACAAAAAATGGAACCGAAAAAATGCAGCGGAGCAGAGGAAAAGGAGCGAGTGAAGGAGATAAAGAATAATGACCACTTTGCCATCTCGTGGCAAATAACCATTCATCAAATTGTCCAAATTACAGACATTTCACAATGACGCACCCCGCGCTCCACGAGCGATTTGGACTTTTGCAATGCCGACAGAGCGACGACGACGACGATGACGATGACTGCAATTCGTTTACACCAATTTTATGGTAACAAGCTTCTCTCCAGCTCCATACCCATACCCCATACCATACCCCTTTCCATTCCCAACCCCATGCCCTCCTTGCAACTGGACATGCCCCATGGCAGCTGCTGGCAAATGAGTTGAGCTCGAGTTGAGTTCGGGCTCAGTTTGGCTACCCAGGAATTGGGGTTTATTGGTATACCCTTGCAGAGGGTTACAATGGCTCAGCAAGGTATTTTGGAGAGATGTTCGGTCAATAGAAGTTCTGAAAACTTGTATTATCACAACTTAAAGATATAGAAAACCAAAATGGTAACATTTTTTAATGTTTCTTGTTTCGAATTTATATATTATTAATATATACACCATATATATGGTATATATATATACCACGGGGGGATACGTGGGATAGACCCCCCTCTCGTGTTTAAAAGTAAAAACCAAAAAATATTAACAGGGTACTACGATTAAAGTATGTATATTATTCCCAATTTTTGATTTTAACTTAAAAAGAAAATGTTTTTATCCCCCCACAACCAATTTTTAAATCCGCCACTGAACAAAACCATTCTATCTTCATTAAATAGAGTTGTTTTGATAATATTTGTATTTTTTGCTCTCGATTGTAATATTGCTTATTAAATAAAGAGTAGAGGATCCTGATGGCTGTTTATACGATTAAGCATATTAACTTTTTTTCAACGTTGGGAAATATTCTTTGTATTTCTAATGTAGAACCGTTTTTACCTTATAGCTGTTATCCGTATACCTCTGTGGTCTTTGTATTATCATACTATGGAACCACTATATCTTGTGAATATCAAAGAAATAATTACCTGAAAGGGTATTTTCATTTTCTTTACCCAATGCCAGCTTTCTCGCTTTATTTTTTTTCCGGGATTGGTTAAAGTGCCGGCTGCATTTGGGGGATAATCGCTGGATGGCGGGATTGAGGAATCGCCCTCGATCGAGGGCTGGGGAGCTGACATGTGTCACGCCTAAAACTATGCAACAGCTGCCGCAGCATTCGCTTTCTGCGTCGGGGCGACATGCATTCAATTTCATGGCTGACCGCTGACAACAACTGCAATTTGGGGACATTAAGTTTTGACATTGAATAATCACCGCCAAAGGCGTTGACGACACACCGAACTCGCCAGCCTGCCGCCTCCTGCCGCCGCTCACACCTCGGTGCCCATTCATAAAATCGCGTACATCGCCATCGCCATGGCCTATAATAAATTCAGCTCACTCATCAGGCAGTCTCTGCATGTGAAATTTTCATAGGGGAGCGTCATCAGTTGGCTTGATTGAGGAGGTGGCCCTGGGGCCAGGGGCTCCCAGAAGGGGGGCCACAGTTCCAGCCCGATTCAGTTCAGCTGGGCTCAAAGCCTGGGACCGGCTTTTATTTTGATTTATTTGCCACAGACACGACAGTTAATTTGATATTTTGATTAACTGCAGGCTGGACTGGTTTTTCTGAGGGGGAAAACCCACTCTCAAGATTGGCAGGGGGAAGGGGGGGGGGAGGGTTGAGGTGTATGAGGGCAAGGGTCAGACGTCAGCTGCTTGGCCCCCAGCTAATCCCTTACATAAGCTCTCACTTTCGCGGCCACGCTATCGACCTGCCCCCTTGAGAGCACTCCGCCCCCTTTATCGCTTCCACATAATTCTATAATTTTTATTCACTTTGCGAAAATGTGAAAATAATTGCAGTTCAGTTAATTTATTATGTCGCTGCCAAGACTTGAAGTGGTGCGAGAAGTGTAGGCCCCTCGCAACAAAAGCAAAAGAGTTGCACAGTGGAAGCAAACATTAAAAATCCTATCAAAATTAATGATTACATACTCTCCTTACTCAATTCTTTAAAAATTTCCCAGTATTCGAAATTCTGAGAATAAGATGACCTTATGATGTTCCTGTATGTATGTTCATATAAAATCAACAGATCATGGTATACAATGCCTTTTCTTGTGAAATATATATTTTTTTTATTGCGATTAACTGGAATTATGTATATGCATTACATTTTACTGAGAAACAAGATTGCAAACCAGCAACGTATAGCTGATAGTCCACCATTTCTGGTAGCGATAAGGAGCTGCTCTGGGGTATAAAAGCTGTTGCACTTTGGGGAGATCTCATGTTCAGAATATCTGCCGAGATGAAGTTATTGGTGAGTGCAATCGTTTAAGAAATTTTAAAATATTTATTAAAGACATAAAATCCTTTAGGCTGTTCTTTTTGCCGTGCTGGTTGTTGTCGTGATGACAGCCATTCCCGTTTTTGGAAATATTCCCCAGTGTCCTCCCACCGATGATGTAGCTCAAGGCGGTAGCTACCCCATCACAGAACTAATGCGAAATGGTCGAAGACCTCCTGTCTATAATACCGGAAGGAATGGAAAGTAGAACCAGGACAGAAATTTTTGAAGTGGAAATAAAATGACACCCTTTTGACCTCTCTAAGTAAAGAGTGCGTTTTAAACTTGTACGACTCTATCTCGTTTGGGTTTGGGTGGATTCATTTTAATATAATTTGAAGGTAGTAAAAAAAATCATGAAAAGTTTAGTCCACAGAGAACAAATTGATAGGATACTATGATTATTTTGATAAAACTCTGTAGCGATTTGCTCTCTTGTTCTGTTTCGGAGGGTTTTGAATATGGCCATCTAGCTCTCGCCCAGAGTTTTTTAATAGAAAAAGTCTAAGGATTGTTAGAAATAATATTTCATAAATATACCATGCGAATATGAAACTGATCCTTAAGTGCACAAACAAACATATTCAGGAATCGGTTAGAATAATTTTTTTTTTCAAAAACCTCTTTTGTCAATAGAGTTTCCCAAAGTTGTCCGTGATTTTGGTATAGCTTGGAATGTTTTGAATTTTCTTGAGGAGATTGTTCGAAATTTCACAATTTTTTTCAGTTAATGGTTCCACTGTACAGTCAGGCATCGACATCGTCTGCCGCCAGGGCACACAACTGTTTATTGTGAAAATTGATTTATTATCGCGATGGCCGAGTTTCTTTTCCCTTTGCCGCAGGCCTCCCCGACGACACACACATGCTGCACCACCGCTCCACCACTCCACCGCTCCACTGCACCACCGCCTGTCATGTAGCATGCACCACCATCAGCGTCATCAGCAATTGTTGTTGCCCCGCTGCATATTTGCATCGATTAAAATAAGAATTTTACATGCGATTCGTGTTGTCGTCGCCTGGCTTTGTCTGGCGAACCCGGTGCCCAAGGAGTGATCCCCTCCTTTCAGGGCTTAATAAATTTATAAATACGGCAACAAAAAGGGGTGGTTCAGTGGCGGAGTGAGTGCTGTTCGGCAGGGGGGGACGAACTGCTTAAAAATGCATGCATGCATGAATTTTAACGAATTGCTGATGAAAATGTCGCATCATAAATTATTTCATATTTAGGGCCCTTGCCATCGAAATGCAGGCGAAATGGTGGGCGAAGGGTTTGGGAGGATAAATGCATGTATATATGTATCTGCGATCCGCGTGAGATAAATTGCACTGGCTACGGATCCGGGTGCTTTTCAGTCACTCGGTCCTTCGTTGTGTGCATGCATAATTTAAATTTATATTTTACTTTCGAGTTATGCGTCTGGGTAATTATTTTATCTTATGGGCCCCCCCAAATTTTAACCCATTCCTTTAAACACACACACACAAAGCACAGGCTACGTGGTCATGCATGGCATTCAAAGGTTAATTGGCATTTTCGGTGTATTATTTTATTTCGGCCTTAATTGCCATGCACATGCACCACAAAACCCATCTCCACACCACCTCAACCACCTGGACTTTGATGGTGCACCACCGTAAAGGGCGTGACTGAGCCGCCGAGGTGGTGGCATTCGCTCCGGGAGAGTGGGCTCGAAATTGTCAGTTGAGCGCTGATTGATTGATTGATTGACTGATTGGAGGCGAAAGTTGTTTGGTCGTGGGCAACATTCAGTTGAGATGTTTCAGGGTGGAAGTTTGTGTGCACTGGGGTTGCTGGTAAACTAGTTTATTCTAGTCTGACAACGAATAAACTTTGACAGCCCTTTGAATGCAAAAACAAGGGATAAACCTGGTTTACTGTTCGATCGAAAATCAATTTCGTATAAATAATTCTAGCTATTGTGCCTTAAACGTATACAAAACATCCTGTAATATTAATTTGTGGATGGTTTTCCTTTTAATATCATGAAAGACTTAGAGGGTCTAGAACTTAAATTCTTACAAAACTATCAATATGAAATTAGCTTTTTAAAACTCTTTACGCTGTTTCAATACCTTCGGATATGCTACTTTTTCAGCTTCCTATAAATCTGGCAAATAAGAAATCAAACCTCATAACTCCATCATTCACCTCCACCATCCTGCTCCCGCCTAATGATTCATCCATCAATCCATTCTAAGATTACTTCTTACAAGTTGCATGTAAACAAGCAATTTCTTAGCTTGCATTCCCCTAACTGCAGAATATGTTTGACTATAGGCCACTTTGCCCCTTTTTTCCCTTTGCAGCCGCAATTTCCGAATAGCTCATTCCCCGTAAGACCCATAAACAACCGACACTCGCGCACTCAGTCACGAGTGCAACTTGTCTTCCCTGATGGCCGTGACCAAAGGCGGCAGATGGGTTAAGGGGGGAGGGGGGGGCTATATGGCTATGGCTATATGGCCAGGGCTATATGGCGATATGGTGGCAGGCGTCAACTTCGGCGCGCCAGAATTGGCATTAATGAGCAGACAAAGAGCTCAAACAGGCGAACAGCAAACAGCGAACTGCCAGCACCAAACACCAAACACCATAATGAAGTCAAAGCAACAGGCCACTTAGCAGCTCAGCCAACGAGATTGAGGGCCTTGCCCAGCTTGGGGGGGAGTGCGGAAAATGCGTCGATCAAATTAACAATTTAATTTCTAAGAAAACTAATTAAAAATCACGCAGCGCTTCGAGCTGCTAGCTGCGAGGACTCGAGACGAATTGAGTGAGGAGCGCAGCGAAGTGGAGCTGTCTAAGCAAAAGACATGCCACTCCGCCCCCACTAGACCCCTCTTTACCCCCCTTTAAGACCCCTTCCATCTCCCCCCATGAGTGGCTGCAACATGCGTCAAGCATTCGCAATTAGCGGAGCTGCAGTCTCTGTCAGTTGGGGCCATTAAAAGCAGGCAAACATGCCCCAGCCACCAGCGTTCTCCCCGTCCGATGCACACACTTGATTTTCCAATCAGAACATTCTCCTTGCCCCTCGGAGCCCGGTGCAATCTATATCTATGGCCAGCGTCTCCTCAAGTTGGCCAGTCAGCAACGTCAGCAACATTTGTGGCATCGTCTTTGCAGCAACAATGCGAAAATTATTAAGGCAAAGTGGCTTGCACAAAATCGAACGGGGAATACTCTTTCAAGAAAATAAAGAAGTACCTAAAAAAATTAGAAATCCTTTAAAATCTGATAAATCTTAAGAAATTAAGTATACGACCTGAGGTATAAATTAAATCAAAGACTTTAATACATCCTTTTAGAGATAAGAAAATAAAGCATCCTTGTAAAAAACCAACACCTCAACTTAAGAAAATTAGTTATAAGGAAATGTAGGAGAGAATAAAATCATATTTTTCTTTCTATTAGCATATCTTTAGTATATTATTTAACGAAACCGTTTGTACTTACATATACATGTTCATGGTTTGAAAAAAAAAAAATTAAAAATTAAATATGAAAGGTAATATTTAGTAAAAGCCCAATTTCATATTTAATAAATCGAGTGCATATATAGTATATGTTCTAGTATAATATATTATTTAAAATTTATTTACCTATGATTAATAAAAAATAAAATATAAAATAAAAAGATTATTGTAAAGCTAGTTTAAAATAAAACCTAATACAACTGAGCTAGAGCTCTTCGCAGGATCTCCCATGACCCATATGCCAACATTTCAAGGACCTATTCGAATCCCTTTCGCTGGGTAAATCCCTAGAAAATTGGAGCAGCTTTGCAGCGGTAATAACCGGCTCGCTGTGGTTAGTGCAGCAACATCAGACATGCTACATAGCCGCTCAACTTGCAGCTTGCAATTGCTGTCTGCCAGGGGCTGATGGATGGATTGCCCGTTTGACTGGCTCCGGTGTTCCCCCATCCACCATCCAGCACCCCTTCAACCAGCCCCACCAAAACCCCACAATCCCGCAAAAACCAACTTAACTTAACTCAACTCAACTCTACTCCTGACTTGACTTGTCTTGACTTGGCTCGCCTTTCCGAGATGCCACACATGCTAAACTATCTGCCCTGCCCCGCCCTGCCCTGCCCTTGCCCCCCTGCCACGCCCCTTGTTTGTTCGCGCTCGTGTGCGACTTGTCGAGAAGAAGAAGAAGCGGAAAGGGGGGCGGTGAGCCTGGGGGGGCGTGGCAGTGGATCGTTGTACGTCGTCAACGTTGACTGCTAATAGACGCTCACGCTCACGACTTTATGCCACACATCACTCAAGTGAATGTGGTGGCAAGAATGAGGGGGGGGGGGGGGGGGAGTCACTGTTGCTGATGTTGCATATAATTAATTTATTATGTTGTTGCCGCTTGCAGCCTTTGGCCATATTGTGCGACGCTGCCATCATCGTCTTGAGAACCCGCCACTCCGCAATCCTTGATTCCATATTCCTGGCTGGGCTGCCTTATGACGCATTTATGTGGCTGCATTTATAATGTTTGCCTCGGCAAGCCAAGTTCCCTGCTCGTCATGTTATTAGTTGTGCATTTGAAGTTGCAGCAGGAAATTGACTCAACTTGCAGCTATATCAAGCTCTATTCGGAAGACGGGTGCATTTCGGATCCCAAGATGTAAATGGGCAATTTGTACGCATTAGAGAAGTGCAAACTCAGGTGGAGGAGGACATGTCATGTGCAGGTGACAATGCTGAAATTATTGACTACAGTAAACACCATAGATGTGGGCCTCAGTTAAAAAATATAGAATTTTTTTTGACCCACTAGATTAATACATTGGGAAAACAAAATATTCCTATTTCAGTATTTTGTGTAACTTTTCCGAAGAACACAAATTTTTTAAGATATACAGATAATATTTTCTAGATAGGTAAAATTAAAATTACATTTCAATATAATAATATTTTAATATATTTAAGGTACAATAGTATAGTTCTTAAAATATTTTTAGATATAAAATGTTTTTTTTAATTTTAATATGTTTTTTCTGAGAATTCTAAAATGATCAATCAAAATCTTAAAAAAATATTTAATATTTCATTATTGGTATCATTCTGCACTGTACTAGAACATATTAACATCATTTGTAAATATAAAGGATGGCTTCCGATAGGTACTAGAGGTATATAGACATAGATTGCTGTTCAAGTGCAAAAAATACATAGATCGAATAGTAAAAATGTTATTTCAGCGTATTTAAAACTTACCTGACTTTATTTTTTATTATTGTTATACTAATTCCTTATTTCCACAACTTCTTAGACATTTTACTAATGATTATAAATTGAAACAGCCGTTATATTGTTTGATTTCCCCATATCGCTTTCAGTTCTGACATTTCATTGATTTCTATTGAAGTGAAATCTAGCGAGTGGCGTCTAACCGACACCAGAGCAAAGGTCACACATTATTAGCGTTGATTTGTGCACTTTGTAATGTGCCCTCCCCCTTTATACACCCGATGCCAGAGGCAAGCTGTCAACGCCTTTTGGTGCCAGCAAGTTGCAACTGCAGTTTCAATCAATCAAACGCGAGGCGAAACGGATGTGGACATGCCACTTCACACACGCCACGAAAGCGAACGAGGTTGGGGTTGTGTTGGCCAAAGGTGTCAACAAAGGTGTGCCACAGCAACAACAACAACAAGAATATCAACTGTTTGTGCAACTCCAAGTGGGGAATAAACGAACGGATATGTGGCAAAGTTTCCTGAATGGCATTCTGCTGGTGAAAGGCAATTTAATTGAGGGACTTCTCGCTGCCCGACGCTGCCTGCTCTGTTTTCATTTCGTTATTAAGCTCAAAATTGGTCCACCGGTTGGTGGACAAGGCAAAAATGTTTGCACACCCAATTTATCATTTCATTTACAGCGCGCAACGCACAAAAATGCAACCGCATTTGGCCAACATTAATCATACGACATGTTGACAGCTGTCAGCGCGTTCGTTCGTTGATTTTGTTGCCACTACGATGTTGCGATGTTGCTGTGGCCTCAGCTTGGAAATACTGCAAATTGTTGAGCTCAGTGGCCAATAAACATTTTAATCCACTAAGGGAAAGAGATATTGCGTTGACCGAGTAAATGGATGGCGTCAAAGGGAAAGCCAGCAAAAAATTATAAAGTTGGTAGTGCCTCTTAGACTTATTGGGACTTAAAATTACCCTATTTGAAAACACGATTTTAAAACAGTATTGAACTAAATTTCAATTAAGATCACCCATCACACATTGTTTTATTTTTAGGGGGTTATAAAAATGGAATTAATTTTTTTGAATTAAAAATACTTGCTTAATCCTGTTAAAATATTTCAAAAACATTTTTGTAAAATCAAAGATTACATTTATAGAATCCCATTCTATAAGGTAAGGTAATTTGCTTAGATAAGTCTGATTGAGAACGAAGGTGTTCTCTGCAAAGTATATGGAATTTATAAATTTCCACGCTGTTTTCATTATATTTAAACATAATCTTTCATCCCTGGCCCATTGGGATGGTAATAAATCTTGCTGGCACACTACGCCAAATGAACAATGAAGAATAATGAGGCCTGTGCCAAAAAGAAAAGAAATTCTGACTTGTCCACAGGAACCGGGCTGGATGAAGTAGAGATTGAGCGAGTGGGAAAGTACATAATAAGCTCATTAATCATGGGACATACAAAACCGGAAGGGAAGTGCGACTGCAGAGAGCAATCATCATCCACATGGAGTGACTACTATGTCACTCAGTTCTCAGTTCTCAGCTCCAATCGTGCGAAATGTGGGCACATTATGTTTCTGGGGGCGTGTCGTATCTTGCAACAGTTTGATCATTAATTAGCCGGCATTTAATGTTAGATGGCCCCTGTGTGCAACATCATTAATCTCGCTTGAGAGCGAACAAATTGAAGCCCCTGGATGCCAGACTGGCCTGTCTTGGCCTGGAACAAATCTAATATACTTCTTTTTTTCCGGCATTTCCGTCTGGGGCATTTGTTATTTTGAATTGTTGTAGAATTTTTCACAATTTTCACATTTTTCAACATCCGCCATGGCGGGCCAACAATAGCTGAAGAGCGAGAACCAAACATCATCATCATCAGAAGTTGGGGCAGCAGCGTCATAGTCTTCATCTCATTGTCGGTTCCATAATTCGAATCATTTATAACTGAAGAAAGTAAATAACTTTGTGTAAGACACTTTAAATACCCTGTTTTGATAGCCACATTAATAATATTAACATATTTTACTATATAGGCAAACAAGGACACCTTGTAATCGTATCTTATTAAATCTATAAAAGGTTAAAAGGTAATTCATGTAATAATACTAATGTATAATATTAAAAATGTTGGTTTTTAAGTGAAATATATTTGTATATATTTGTATATAATGGTAAATAAATCTTATTTATAGGGTATCATCTTACTTCGACCCTAAATAATCAGTTAAGTAAATGGAGGGTCGGTCATTGGTCCGGTCCTCTGATGGCTACCGTCGTAATCTCGGATCCGAGACAGACGCCCGTCCATCTGTCCACCTTCCGTCCGTCTGCAATGTCCACCCAGATTTTTTGATTGATGGCGCGAGTGGCGCACGTTGCAGTTGCTCTTAAAATTTTTATAAATTATAATTTTTCCATCGACTGGCAAACATATTTTTCATGTCATGTCATTCCCCCCGTCTGTCCTGCTCGCCGATTGATTGATGAAAATGCGAGGCGTGTACGAAATAAAGGAAAGAAATATAATAATAATGATATATCTATGCAAATTACGGCACACAAATTATTAGTTTCGTGTTCTGCGAGGATGACGACGTTCGGTTCTCGAGTCAGGCGTCGGAATTTCATATTAATTTGCCAGCCATTAATCATTCGCTGAGGGGGTGTCGCCGTTTTTGCTTGATGTTGCTTTTGGTTCGGTGTCAAAGGTGGCAGTTTTTAGCTTGATTTTAAGTGAATTCATGCTGCCTAATTTCCATAATTGAAACAATGGAGGTGATTTGTTAAAAAAATTAGATAAATTAAAGAAAACTTGATAAAACATTTATTTTATAAATTCATAAAAGGAGTATTATTTCATTATTTATGGTATACTGTGAAATGACAATAGTTTTGATGACCAAATATTTTCAATACTTGGTCGCGTTTCAAGTCAATTGTTTGCTGTGGTATTTCTCCGAGTCAATCTGTATGAATTTCCACAACTTCATTTTGTGGCCCTCATTGTACCGGCCAGAAAATGGAATTTCTGCCGACAAACTGCGGCCTGGCCAGCCCCGATATAGTTGGAAAACAAAAACAGAGCTTTGCTGCACTTCATCCCAGCCATATTCTCGACTCGACTCTGTTTGAATCTGACTCTGCGGCCAAAGGGCAATAAAAACTATTTACAGTTCAATTTGCTATAATATTTGCAGCTGAAAGCCGCAAACGACAAATATGCACCACCGAAGCAAACCAAAGCGAACCAAACCCAACCAAACCAAACCAAAACGACAACCACAGACAGAGCGACCTTTCCCCGCATCATTTTCCCACTAGGAAAAGCCTTCGCTTGCGAGATACGCAAATAGCTTAAACTTTTTATGCACAGTAGTCACGGATGATGAGGGTATATTGAGCTCAATCAGAAGTCTTATTCTAGAAATTTAGAGAACACAGGGGTAATTTAGAGGATTACAAATTCTAAAATATGTAATAAATATCTTTTTGATATACTTAGATATTGTATCCTTTTTTATTCAGAAAATATTTATCATAATAATGGTCAGAAAATATTGTTCTCAATATTTATCAATAGATGTAGGATTACATTGGATGTTATTTTTTAGAATAAAATTTTCAATGTTACTTGATAGGTTAAAATTTTAATCACAAAACCATTATATGTTTGAATCTTTATTCATTTATACTTTTTAAAAAAGGTATCCGATATTTTCTTGCCAAGTTTAAAGATATGAGCGATACATGCAATCTTCAGTTTTTGATGGATTTTTAACCTATGCATAGCTCAAAATTTAAAAAAATATATTATATTTGTCACATCTTTTCACATCCTTTAGTTTTTGTTCATGCCATAATATCTAGAAAAATTAGCGTTTGTAAGGCAGGTTTTATTACGATTAAAAATATCAGATGTTAGAGGGTACCGTAACATCCAAACTCCCTTGAAAAGGATTCCGAAATGTTTAGCATGCGATGGCGCATTCAAAGTGGAATCAAAGTTTATGCACACGAGGACATTCGGACGGGCAGGGAATGTTCGTTTGCGTATCTGAAAATCTACAGACAATAATCCAGTGTAGAATAGTGCGGGAGCACTGTAAGGGTTAGGTTGCGTTTGTGTTGCCATTCCGGCCACTCGACACTTTCCATGGCAAAAGTTATGCAACCAATTTACATACAAAAACAACTCAATAAACGTGCGAAATGCTAACGATTTGTAAAAGTTGAAATCCCCATGCCCCCAACTCGCGCTCACACACATGAGTGTATTACGTCCTGTTATTGGTTTTTGTAGCCATTCCACGAGGGCAGGCCCCAAGGATGGTGGTGGTCAGGGGGGCCACATTCCCTGCCCTGGCAATTTAGCAAAGTATTTCCTCGTCGCTCTAAAAAGTTGCCCACTTTTTGTTACACCAACATGAGACGTCCTCGTCGTCGTCTCGTAAACTGTGGGCTTATTTTCATGCCCGGAGCCATGAAAACGGAAATTGTGCATGAAAGCTGACTGCTAACCATGCCCCCCCCAAGCCCAGCGGAGCACCCACTTACACGAACCTAACTCGATTATTATAATATTCAACTATATAATCCAATGGGAAAGTTTGCTAATAAGCTGCTAGTTGAGTGCCAGTTAACATTGCCAGTTCACCCGGGATTTCAGAAGCACTCAAGGATTGCGGGATGGGAATGAGGTTCGGTTTTATTGTTGTGGATAGGGAATGCAGCTCGAGGGCGAACGTCTCGAGTCAATTTCAATTTTGCCCACTGAAGGATAATTGCAAATGGATGAGAATTGAACGTTTGATTCGCTCTTATTGAGATGATTTGGCTAATCGAATCAGTCAAGTTGATTGAATGACAGGTTAGCTCATGAATGTTATAATCACAGTAGGCCAGAAGTTCTTGGAAGATATTTCATAGAACTCCAACGGAAAATATCATAACTAAAAAATTTTCCAGTTGATCATAACCTTTTTTTCTAGAAAGTCTCTTGCGAAAAATAGGTAAATATATATGCTGAAAAAAACAAGTAAATCCAAAATAAAGCTTTATATTTAGGATATGTCCGGACTGTCTCATCGAATTATGAAGGAGACACAGCGTCTTCTGGAGGATCCGAGTCCGGGGATTAGTGCCATCCCGGATGAGAAAAATGCCCGTTACTTCCACGTTCTCGTCTCTGGGCCCCAAGACTCGCCCTACGAAGGTGGAATTTTCAAGCTGGAGCTGTTTCTACCGGGCGCTTATCCCATGAAGGCGCCATTGGTTCGGTTCCTGACGAAAATCTATCATCCCAATATCGATAGTTTGGGTCGAATCTGTTTGGATGTGCTGGGGGACAAATGGAGTCCGGCGCTACAGATTCGCACCATTCTCCTTTCGATCCAGGCCCTGCTAAGTGCTCCCAATCCGGACGATCCACTGGTCAACGATGTGGCAGACTTATGGAAGGTCAATGAGAAGAGGGCCATTCAGAATGCCCGGGAGTGGACCTTGAGATATGCCATGGAAAACTGATTTTCCTTGGAAAAAACGAACAAATTACAAATAATTCTGTATTTTAGGATCACTAAAATGGAATTAAATAAGGGAAAACATTGCCCTTTCATTATATAACCATTTATTATTATTTTAAGCTTTCGAATGCGGTATTTTGTTATTTGTGTCTGAGAGTAATTGTCGCCCCCACGGCGGGCTGTCTAATTGCAACTAATCACACAAAGATAGCCACAAGTGGCGCAGCAACAAATAAGGCGACTTTCACTAAACGCGAGCGATGTGGCATGAAAAATGACTCCGGTCCAGTGTGCCCCATACAAAGGCGACTGCTAACGGTATTTAATGACACATGAAGTCGTCAATCACTCAGTAAATCTCGACATGTCGCCGTACCCAAAGTCTCTTTACCGACTTCCCCCGCAACTCGAGAACCCAACAGAAAACAAAATAAAACCCCAGCGATGCCAAGCGAGTCAAAAGCGAAACGAAAAACGCTCCCGGTAGCAACACAATTTGACAGCCGCCTGACAGTTTAAATTAATTGATTTATATGGGGTGCCTGGAACGGAAAGTGGACACTGCTCGGAGGTTAGGGAGTGGCGCTTTCGCTTAATCGCCCCCAAACAAAGGAATATGAAAGTCGCCTCTACCGACTAACAGATGCTCACTACTCGTAAGACAACATGAGAACCCATATACCTGCAACTTTTGATATCATAATAATTATAAATCATATATAGGTATAGATTTAAAATCATACTGTTTGAAAAGATCCAGAAGTTTTATAAGTGGTTCAGTTCTTTTAAGATAAGACCGCCTTAGACCATCCCACAAATCGTATATACCTCAAATCTCTTCCATATACGGTATTTAAATATACTGATATGGACTTTCAATTAACTGAATGGCATCGTATATTTCGATCACTCGGGGCCTAGGCTAGACCCGCATTTGAGGCATTACCCTGGGGTTATATCTGTGTTTACGGTCGTGTCAAATGCACCCCAAGTACTTGCCACTTCCCAGCCCAGACCCGTCGAGACACCTGCCACACTCTATATGCTCAATCTATCAGCGGAGCTACGATCTCGCTGTGTCCGATTTATAGACAGTGTAATAACATTATCGATTCGGTTAATTATATGATAAATAGTGTGCACCCTGGCGGGGAATTCGACGATTATCTCGAGGGTTGCTCAAGTGTCTGGCGCATAAATCAAGAGAGCTGTCACGCGAATTGACCCGGCCATGGACGCAGTCGCGCCACTTGACTGATGATGTCTTGGCCCCGATGCGATCCATCGGCCATCGATCTGGCGGGGGATCTTACGGTTAGCATTTCACTTTCCGACTTTTGTCGCCGCCACTTACAGATGCGTCAAAACTAACAAGATCGATGGCATGGACACGCCACAGGGCGTCGATCACCGATCACCGATCAAGTGATCATTGATGTCTACGTCGGAGTATCGGTATCTCAGGGGTAAACTCGTGGCGTTTTTGAATTCGAGTCTTTTATAGTGTCGCGACGGCGCTTGATGAATGCCTTGATGAGCTCTGACCAAAAGAAAAGAAAGCCGGTAAAAATTATAAGGGTTACATATGTATGTATATAGTCGATTTATAAAGGGAATTATTTTTAAAGGCTTGTAAAAAGATGATACAGAGCACTCACCTCGTAAGACAGGAATTGAAACTAAAGAACTTCTTAAATACATGACTAACTTAAGGTATATACCATAATATTTAATGTTTCTTAGATAGTATATCACTGTATTTAACCTAAACATATCTTTGTTTTTCATTTAACTAAATATCTTTTGGAGAACTGAATTTTTTTGTATACCCCATATATCTGAAATCATCATCGGTTGTAGGAGTAATCTATATTTTTATGCAGCTAACGGATACCATTTTCATTCCTAAAATAATCTCACCTTAAAATCACAACAGTACAATATTGATTTGCTCAGAATGCAAACAAAACAAATCCCAATTCATTTGAGTTTTATTGACGCTGGGATTTATTCGTCTAGCTAAGGACTCGCACCTTCCCTTCACTTATCGCAGCATCCACTTCTGTTACAACTTCATTTGAGCAAATCTCTATAATCCCATCTGATTCCGATGGCACAAAACAAACTTTGCCGGTCCCTCAGATGGCAAATAACTCTTTTTCGCAGCCGGGGCGAACCATCCTTGGGCCGTCGTCGTCTCGTCCCCGTTAATCCCGCTCGTAAGCATTTTGTCACATTTCAAAATCATTTATCAAGAGCTTTCACAACAGCAACCCTCACGCCCCGTACCGTTTCGATCCGCATCCGCATCTGAATATGAACCCCATTCACATCGCATCTCTGTCACTGCACTGACAGTTGTGCACATTAATTTTTCAACACAGACTTTGGGAAATTTGTTCGGGGCCACAAATTTCTCGATGCGATGCTCAATGGGAGACGACGAATAAAATACAAAATAAACATCTCTCTTTGTGTATTTTGTATCTCGCTGCTCTGCGTTTGCATCTTTCGGTTTGCAGTTTTTGGTTTGTGTGTGTGTGTGTGCGCTGGGGCTAAAGTAATTTTTCATATCATAAATTTTCAAGTCAGTTAATCCCACACGCGGCGTTCGTTGTCGGCTTCTTGCACTCTCTCCTCGCCGGTTTTATTTATGCCTTCCGCCAGATTCAGATTCTCCATCTCCGCCTGATGGCAGCTGTGACACTTTGACATTTCAGTGATAATTCATACTTTTGCATGTCATACTTAATTACGGCAACAGACTGTGTGGGTCTTTTATCATATTTAATTTCGGTCTCTTGCATTTCTTCTGTCAGGCACATCATTATTGCTCTCTTAGGCCGCCGCCTCCTAGGCATCATCGTCGGTTTTGGGAACTGGTAAGATACTACGAACTTCGAAGACCACCAATCCCCAATTTTCAGACCCGGCTCAGTTCACTAATTACTCGACAGACATTTCCCAATCGTCTTCAAACTTAATTTATCACCTCGACTCGCTTGGCTTCGCCACGGATGATTAATACATTTCTTCTTTTCTCTGGCACACAAAATGACATAGAATATGTTTTGAAAAAGGGTTTTGGTTTTCGGCTCGGTTTTTCATATGCCAAACACATCAATCATCTGCCAAAGTTGCGAAAGGGGGGCCAGCAGTCCCAGGGGAGATGGCCCAGAGCGAAAATCAAATTTCCAGAAAAATCAGCTTAGTGATACTGAAATTAGTGACATGTCAACAGGCGAGGCAGGGGAGCATGAGGATTTGAGCCCAAAACCACAGAGAGCATTAGCAATTTCATAGGATTTGTATCCCCTATTTGAAAAAGGTATACTACAAAATTTTATTTTAATAAATAAATGCTAAACATTATATTTTAAGAGCTAAATGTATCTTGATTAATTTTTGTTTTTAAATGTTAATTAAACTTAACAATAAAATGCTTTTATGGAAAATTGAATTTTATTTATTTGTTTGATCTCTTGTTAAAAAGTTACATGGTTCAGAGAAGATTTTTATATACATACTGTTATTTTAAATTTGATTTTTAAATTTATTTGGCATAATTTATTCAATTGTCGACTATTGGTTTGATAACTCGTTAAAAAATTGAATGATTTATAGGAAAGAATTTTTCTTTTTATCAACAAAAATCCAATTATATAAGAAATCCTAAGGGAGTAATATTTTCCCAAAACTACCATAAATACCTTATTTTTTTAAATATTTTTTCAGATTACTACAGAGATTTACATTTCTAGCATATTTTTAAGTATCCTTTAGGATCCTTAAGAGAGGGTATTTTGACTTCGCACAACCCAATCTAGTTTCCGTCCCCACTCGGTGTGGCTGCCATCTCGCTGAGTGATGTGCGGCCATCAATCTAAACTCATCATTTTGAAGGCGCGCTGTCAGCCATAATGACCGAGGCCAGGGCAAAAAACTATATAGAAAAATGTCTGACGAGTCCCACATGATGGTGGGGAGGGGGGCTTTCAAAGTGGGGAGTACGGAGTAAGGGAAGAGGCTAACTGCGATGGGTCACACAATTCCGCACACAGAGTCGTCAATCATAATTTATAAATTGCTATGCCAACTGATGTGTTTGCGGGGGTGTGAGGATGGAAATCCACAATCCACATCTAGTCGAGTTGTTTTCCTCGCCTTTGTACTCGACTGTGTTTTCTTGCGCTTGTGCCATATCCAACTAATTATTCAACGTCTCATTAAACAAATAAATGTGTCAGAGAAACATTTGTTTCCCATACATCACGGGCCAAAGCGAAGGCCGCCAAATCACGTCATGTGAAAATGACAAATCAAATGAGATTAACACTTAATTTCATTCTGAAAGACGAAAACAGAAATAGAGTGAAATATTTTACCGCTCAGTGCGCATTCTTCGCTCGGAGGCAGTGCCTCCAACGAAGCGTTCTTGATAGATGCGAGTTCTGCGCATATTTCAGGGGAAATCACCTGACAGCCCGCCATATGGGCCGTGAAATTAAAAACCATAATTAAAATGTTCGCCGAAGACAGTGGGGTCTGTTGCCAATGATTCACGCGTTGAAAGGCATTCCGCTGGGGATTAAGATGCCGATCCCTGTAGCAAAAATAAATGAACATAAGGAAAGTCAGCGCTTTTTGTAACAGTTCTTAAGAACTGTTCATTCAGAGAATGATTTTAATATTGATCAGCAAAAGTTCAGTATACAGTATGCAAATGGCATTTGATTGATACACGAGCATTTTCGAACTGTCAATCTTATTTCTTTTTGCTCTCTTCAATCTCTGTCTTGATGCCATTGTGTCGACGGCTATTGGACATTTAAAGGCTCTGCAGCTCGGTTTTCTTGTCACCTCCCATTGGCCTTATCACATGCCACATGCCCAGTGCCAGACTGCAGAAACAGTTGATGCTCGTCGTGCAATTTATTGAGCACATCAATCAATGTGGCAATTCCATTTGAGTACTCCCCCCGTTGTTGTGATTCTCCGCAAATAATTGCACATTGCACATGCCTGTCAATGGGTGTGGTCAGAGCCAGTGGAAGACTCGCCGGCAATCGTCACTCTAAAGA